AGAAGTAAAGTCTTTGATAAATAAGTTACACATTTACATTTATTTTGAAAAAAATCACTGGAAATCTATATTTTAAGTTGTTTATTTTTACCATTCAGTATTGTAATTACCGTATTTACCTGTGTATAAGATGCACCTAATTTATAAGGCTGTTTTGTGGATTGGTTTTTGTACGTTTCATGGCACTGTACATTTATTGAAAGTGATTTTCAACTTGTTTTGTATGATTTTGTGCTTGAAAAAATACTGTACAGTATATACAAATACTATATATTTGATTGGTGATGGAGCAAAAACATGTTCTGTATCTTCCGGCAAGCACTGTAAATAGAACATTTACAGTACTTGTAAACTTGATGATAAATGTAGTTACATTGAGAGAGGAAGGGAATTATCAGGAAAAGTACCAAGTCATTACAACTATATAGCACTTGGAAGGGATCAGGATAAGGACTTGGGATGGGAAGGGTGGAAAGAATAGTGCCCAACCACTTGGACGGTCAGGGATTGAATGCCGACCTGCATGAAGCGAGACTCACTCTACCGTCCAGCCCAAGTGGTTGGGCGGTACAGAGAAATCTACATAGAGGAACCACACTAACATGATACTGTATATATCAATGAGAAAATCAACTGGAGCTCTGAGGTGACACGAACCCACGACCGAGAGAGACTCAGCCACTGACGTACAGTCCTTGCACCACTGCTGTTCCTTATTCTCATATCAGATATAGACAAAAATACAAGTCACAGTTTTGTGTCATCCTTTGCAGATGATACAAAAATCAGCATGAAAATTACCTCTGCTGAAGATATTGAAAAACTATAGATATTAACAATGTTTTCGACTGGGCAGCAGAAAATAACATGATGTTTAACAGTGATAAATTCCAGGTACTAAGATATGGCAAAAATGAGGATCTGAAACATAATACAGGGTACAAAACACAATCGAATATACCCATAGTAGGAAAACAGCATGTCAAGGATTTGGGAATAAGATGTCCAACGACCTAACGTTTAGGGAGCATAACCAAGCAAATATTGCGTCAGCCAGAAATATGATAGCATGGATTACGAGAACCTTCAAATCCAGAGATCCCATCACAATGGTTGAATTCTTCAAATCACTTGTGTTGTCCTGTCTTGAGTACTGCTCAGTACTCACTTCCCCCTTCAGAGCAGGAGAGATTGCTGAAATAGAGGGAATACAGACAACATATACGGCACACATAGATGAGATAAAACACCAAATTATTGGGATCGTCTCAAAGCTCTCCAAATGTACTCACTAAAAAGGAGACGAGAGAGATACCAAATAATATACACATGGAAAATACTGGAGGGACAGGTCCCAAATCTATACAGTAAAATAGCAAACTATTTGAGTGAATGATAGTTCACTCAGAATATGTGAAGAAGAAATTGGAAGAAAATGCAGAATAGAACCAGTGAAGAGCAGAGGTGCCACAGGCACAATCAGAGAACACTGTATAAACATCAGAGGTCCATGGTTGTTCAACATCCTCCCAGTGAGCATAAGAAATATTGCCTGAACAACAGTAGACATCTTCAAGAGGAAACTAGATTGTTTCCTCCAAGGAGTGCCTGGCCAACCGGGCTGTGATAGGTATGTGGGCCTGTGGGCCGCTTCAAGCAACAGCTTAGTGAACCAAACTCTCACAAGTCAAGCCTGGCCTCGGGCCGGGCTTGGGGAGTAGAAGAACTCCCAGAACCCCATCAACAGGTATCAACCAGGTATAATTGAAAAGGTTAAGGCAACGGCCTACTGCAGCTTGATTTGGGCGAATCGTTTTAACAAAACTTTGCATTTCTTTCCATACTGCACACCACTTCTTAATTGTTGAGGATCCCACAACATAGTATATAATAATCACTTTTATGTTTAGAAAGCAAATTAGCTGAAAAACAATTAAATTCTTTACAAAGAATTCAAGCGCGATCATCACTAAGTCGGCGGTCTGGTAAACTGAAGCGGGGTTGCCCTTGTCACCAGGAACCACGCTCTCTGTCAACCCATACGTGTATCAACAAAGTCACAAGTCGAGGCAAAGGTTGTAAGTTAAGTCGAATTTGCTGACAAAATTGGGGTCGTAACTTGAAAAATTTGTAAGTAGGGGCATTTATAAGTCGTGCCAAGTATGGGTGGTCAACAAGTGGAATGCACTGAAAGTAGTAGTCATGGAAGCCACCTCTATCCACAACTTTTAGGCTAGTTTTGATTAAACATTTTAATGTCGGAAAATAAAGAATAGAAATCACTTTCCTGGAGTCGCCGACTATTAAGCACCACTTAATAAGAGTCCAGGACAAACTGAAATGTTATCACTTTCATTTTATTTCTTATGTGGGGTTGGGTTATTTATTTTTCAGTATTATTAAAAAAAATTAAATATATTTTGTTCATATAAATGGACAAGTGTTTACATTTAAACAAAATAAAAAACTTTAATTTATATAGTGGTTGTGGATTATTTAATTGACAATGTTTATATTGTATAAATATCAAATATAATATTAATTTATCCAAGTAAAGAGTAACATTAATTGCCTAAAGCGATACATGTATTTATAAATGATATACCATACAGAATAATAAAGAACAACGCCCCATTTGTCATGATGCAGAGTGGGTGAACAAATTGAAAATCACTTTTTTTTTTCTCTTACAGTGTATTGACATTAAGTGTCTTAAGATTTATTTCGTGTTGTATGGGCCGAGGTAATTTGGTAATTTGTTATGCAACCCATTCGCATCCCATGAGCAGTGGTGGCAAGGATTGCAAGGGGGCCTCGTGGCTGAGTGGAGAGCCTTCTGAGGGTCGTAGTCCTAAGGGCCCGGGTTCGATTCCTAGCAGAGGCAGAAACAAATGGGCAGAGTTTTTCACCTTGGTGCCCCTGTTGACCTAGCAGTAAATAGGTACCTGGTAGTTAGACAGCTGCTATGGGCTGCTTCTTGGGGATGTGTGTGCATTTGTGTGTGTAAGAGAAATAAATATATGTAGTAGACATAATGGAGGAAAAATAAATTTGGTTAGAAAGGCCGGTCCAAGAGCTAATAGCTCAATTCTGCAGATACAAATAGTAAATGCATAATGGGTTCAGAAAATGTACACCATGCACTCCATTAGCTAAGCAAGTAACAAGCTTCTGAAGCTAGTTAAAAAAAAATTTTATACATGTACAGTAGTAGTACTGTAGTAGGCATCCTTCAGTCTCAGGAGACTATGGAGTTGCGCTCTGGTTGTCAATCCTGGTGCAGCGTCTGGTGTGACTGATGAGGCCAATCCGAGAGTGGCAGTCCATCCCATATTGAGCACAAACGAAGTCCGATTCTGGTTTGTCTTCCTGGCTACCGACTTTCCTTCTCTGTCACATGTACAGTACATACATACAGTATATACATATACATTATACAGACATACTCATGCATATATCAAAGGTCTATTTATATCACAATTGGTTCAAGAAGCTGCTAATAACAACAGCCGTTAACAAAAGATGTCTCTGGGGAATTAAGGTTTTGATTTAGTGATGGTGAACATTCCAGCTGTATTTCACATTTTTCTTTTATGTCTCCTTTGATCTTTAACTAGAGTCAAAGGATCCAAGCAGGCCTGTGTGTCACTGAAGCCTTACAAAGAAATGATCACTGTTGCACGGTCATCCACGAGGGGTTTAGCCCATCTGGTGGGTTGGAAGGCAAGGAATATGGTGGGAGGGGAAGTGTGTTGTACTACTTGATGTTGTTCCTACATCATTAAACAGCACTAAGTCCTGTGTGTGCATTTGTTATGTCTAATGGTCATCTAGTAATTGCATCAAGGAATTCAGTGTCAACAATGAGGTAAAAACATAAAATTTAAATGCAATCCTTTTCTGAACAATTCTTCCTTGGCTGTTCCCATAAGCCAGGTTCACTAAAGTCTGTTTGTACACCGGGTTCAGGATGACTAGCCCACTAGTTCAGGATGACAGGGGCAGGGAGCACAGTAGAGCTCGTATCTTGATCCACCACTGAGGAAATAATGTTTGCTATAACTATTTGGGAGGCCTCGTAGCCTGGTGGATAGCGCGCAGGATTCGTAATTCTGTGGCGTGGGTTCGATTCCCGCACGAGGCAGAAACAAATGGGCAAAGTTTCTTTCACCCTGAATGCCCCTGTTACCTAGCAGTAAATAGGTACCTGGGAGTTAGTCAGCTGTCACGGGCTGCTTCCTGGGGGTGGAGGCCTGGTCGAGGACCAGGCCGCGGGGACACTAAAGCCCCGAAATCATCTCAAGATAACCTCAAGATAACCTCAAGATATAACACTAAACCACTCGAAGCCCCACCTCGATGCACATCAAGCAGGTGTGCTATCTCAATTGACTGCATGACATCTCTTGCATGAACCAAGTTAGACTACTTGGTTCGAGTGTTTAGAAAGGGTGTTCAATGTGTTAATGAGTTATTTCATATTTGTTATGGTTTCATAACAAGCACATTTTCTTTTTGAGGTTTGTTCTTAGCTAGATTACAAGACAAGACAATTTGAAGCATTACCTCCCTCAGTTTGACTCAAAGTTTCTTGTCCTGGTATTTTAGTAATGTTACGGGTGAGTTCATGGCTATGACTTTGGGAAGTAACTGAAGTTCCACTCGGGAAGGGACATTATATTTCATTCAAATGTTAAATTAAAATAGCATACAACAATAAACATCTGAACAAACGTAAAATTATTCTAAACATTAATATGCGGCAATTTGTTGTCTCCCTCATCACGGATATATTTTGAGGGATGGCGCACCTGCACACCCCAGAACGTGAGAGTATTAATACAGTATTGCACTTTTGAACATTAAATGATTTTCATGAAGTTAATTTTGTGCAATGTTTTCTATGTTTCAAAATTATTTACAGAGTAGTTTCTGCTGTTAATGCATTTAGACGATCCTTTATATTTCGAGTCTTACATTTACAATAGATGTTATTTCAGCTGCCCGCATGTTCGACATGTTTGACGTGGGAGTGATGGAATGTGTTCGATGGAGGCTTATGAGCGTTACACAGCTACAAAATGGAGGTGCTATGCAGGCGTCAGGTCAGACTTTTACGCTGAGACCCCAGGTAAATATTGTATAAAGTTGTGTATAAAAATTTTAATATGGTTCAAACATAATACTGTACTGTACATGGATCAGTTTTGACTTGTTTGATTTGTCCTTTGATAATCTCTACTCACACTGTTCTTGTGTAATTTGTGAGTTTTACTATGAAAGTGCAGATAGACTTGTTAAGGAAGTGGCTTTCACAAGTTCGAGTACAGGTGATGCATTTTAGTGTCATCAGAACACTTGGGTATTAATTTATCTTTAGTTATCAACTTTTTTCTGGATGTTGTAGATATTAGTTTGCAGATAACAACTAACACAGTACAGTAATTTATATGTTAAAAATCAGTCATGCTTTACCTTGGTCAATGGTGGCACCAAGATAGCATTGGGAGGGGGAAGGCTTCGGCTTCCACCATAATTGCTGCCAACAGCCCCAAATAAAAATAATAAAATTAATAAACTAATAATAATAATATAATAAAACTTTAATATTGACAAAGTATGTGTTTGAAATTTTTAGAGTGAAGGTGTTACAGCTTAATTTGTTGAAGGAACAACCAAGTAAATACCATACCATAACACTGTAACAAAAGATCTGTCCCTAGGTAGTAAGTGTTATTTTCTAATTCTTTATGCTTCCAAAGTATATACAATGGCTGTTATTTCCCTCAAACTTTGCATAGACTTTTGGCTTAGACAGCTTAGGGAAGATGTCTTGAAGGTTACTTGAAGGCTGCCATCTACGAGGACATTGGTTCTTATATTGTTAAATTAACATTGCCATCAATCTTTGCAGCCCTACTGGAAATCATTAAAACTTCTAATAGTCACTTGGTAACAGAAGCAAGTACAGTGTCATTGATAGGTCATTTGTAATCACTCTTATAATGATTTAAGTTTTTTTTTTAGATTTGCTGGAGATTTTTTTTAAATCTCTGCTGGATATTTTCTTAAATCAGTTGTCTTTGACCATTAGGATAACCACTGTTAAAATTCATGGCAAGGTATACTGCAAACTGTAGTTCATGTGTGAAACACCCGGCACTGAACAGCTGACGAGCAATAAGAAAAGTATAACAATGATCTCAGTCACATCGTATTCAGATTCTCAATATGAATGTTGTTTTTCATTCCTGCAGTTGACAAATACTTTAAGAACAGTGGTATTCATATTGCAGTTAAGGTACATCCATATATTCAAGACAAGCCAATAATGTGAATATTGAACTAATTAAAGTATTGATTAGTTTGCTACTAAATACAACAAAGACTCACATATTTACAGTTAGCCTGTCATTTAGGAGTAGAATGAAATAGCATGTTTTTGTTGTCATTACAGTATAGTAATAAGGCCAAGAGTGAGGTTATTATTTTGTTGGTTTACATGTTGACATAAATTTATGTATGGTAATTATCATTATATTTTGTATAGTTATTTTCTCAAAATTATTTAAATTGTGAATAAAAATTTCATTAGAAAACTTGGCAAATTACATTGATCTGTAATACAATCTTAAGTTAAAATAAAAAAAGTGCTTGTTATGCAAATGCAGGTTCAAGGCAGTCAACTTAGCCCTTCCTTCCTATCAGGAGGTAGGTACTTACTTCATTCCTATCAGATTGCCATCCCTAAGCTCCCACCCCATATATAAAAATTCTGGTGCTGCCATTGATCTCGGTAAATGAATGAAGTAGGAATGCTTTACCAAAGGATAGATAACTCTTCCCAAATCTATATTTCATGTGACTAAATAGCTATTCTGTACACAGTATTGTGTCTAGGGAATAATCTAATAAATAAGTATTAGACATCTGTAATACTGTATTTTACTTAGTAAAACCAAGATAAGTACTGTATACTGTATTGTATATCGTTACTATATGATGGTTCACTATTTTGCTGCACATACAGATTTATATGCTTGTCAAATATTTTAAAATTTCTCCATTTCCTTTTAGGTTCTTGCGAGACGGACGTGTTCTAAAGGAGTTACGGAAGTTCTTGTAAGATGGTCTCCACCGGGAGTGTAAGTAAATTTTTATTAAAATGGAATAAAAATGTTTTCAGTAAGTCTGGATACCTTGCTCAGGTTCATATTTCTCTATAAAAGTTTTCAGTTGCAGCTGAACAAGTGATGAAATTTTTCATTAACACATTCAGGTATATCTACAGTTGTGCAGCTACTCTAGACTATATGAAGGGTAGTACAGTAAGTGTCAAGAACTAGCTACGTGATGCTAAAAATCCCCATCACACAGGATGGATAGTCTTACAGAGGCATGTGATCAGTAGTCTACACTGGCAAATTTTCCATAAGAAATAATGTAAATCGAATGAATCCATTCCACTCTCCCAAACATATTAACTTCAAAATACATTTCATACATAATACACACAAATATTTTGTACTATAGTATGTACAAGTTATAGCTTATCTTTATTGATGTCTGTTGGTGGCACAGGAAGATGGTGAGGATGGGGGAAGGAGAGATGTTAATATTTAGAAGGGGAATCCCCTTCCATTATAACATCAGGCAGTGATGACTTCTCTGGAGTACTCTCTCTCCTATGTTTTGCCTGGAGACCACTAATGCAGGAAAAAAAAATATATATGGAATTTTAGCACCATTGTGCAGGCATTGATGGTTCTGTTAATACATGTCCAATAGCGTCAGTTCACTCGAGAAAACTCTGACACCAGCACTAATTACAATCTTATAATTTCATGTGTATACAGTAATTACTATGGGCCTGCCAGCATTGACAGGTCCTAATTTTTTCTTTTAAAGCTAAGTAGAGGTTCTGATTATCATTAAATTAGGCTGGCTTAAATTGTCAATCATCAATGCATTTTCTTGTCATTTCTTCTTGTGACAGATTTTGGTAAAAGTTACTCTTACCACTTCAGGAATGAAGGAAGTCTTAGGAAGCAACTGAGTGGGATAGTTCATAAAGTAGATGTGAAAACAAAGAATGACAAAAATATTACCTACATTATGTAAGTAGAAAAACAGAACACTGCTCTACTAATTATTATATATTTCCTGCAGAATTGCTGATGAATGGGTTGACATGGATCAGCTTGAAACAACACGGAGTGTGCCCCTAGAGCAGCTGTCTCCAGAAGCCAAACAGGCTGTTACTCAGTTATGCTATCCAAGTTTAGCACGGCCTCAAAAACACAGACGCAAACTCCCCTCATGTCCAAAATCTTTATCTTTAGATATATCTAAAGCAGTGTGATCTTAGGGAGAAAATAATTTTTTAAAGACAAACGTTAGGTCTTGATCTCATTCCATTACGGAGTAACACAATGTGTGAGTGTGTGTGTGTGGTGTGAGCATTCCCCAGATGTGTTTGAGGGATGTTGTAGTGCCCACAGTTGGAGCTCAGAATGTTGAACTTGTGAATCCAAGTGAATGGACCAAATATTGGACCAAAAAGATGATATTCTGTGCAAACTATAAAAAGGAAGCATGTTTCTGTGTGTACAGTTGCCTATGTATATTTGTAAATAGTGTGAGAGTAGAACAACCAGCATAGTTTGTCACTGCCAGGAGCTCTTATACTATTACTGTGTGTTAAAGGGTCAATTGACCAGTGTTAGGGTAATATACGTCATCCTTGTGAGCCAACATAGCTTCTCCCGTAAAGATTTATGGCATCTTTACTCACTCAAAATATTTTTGTTGTCAGATAATGAAAAATGGATTTATATTAGATACCTGATTTGTAAAGGTTAGTAGTTATAGAGTCACAAAGACTGATTACTAACAGTGGTTTAGCTGCCATATATCTGTAAAGTGGAGTTGTGATTCTGATAGATGACCACCCAAGAAAACCACCACTGCCAGACATCAGGAACATCTAAGCCAGACCAAACCACAAACAACAAAACGGGTGCCCATTATGTCTGACTGTCTGTATGTAAGTAACACTATTTTTTTTGTATATCCTAACGCCTTAATACTGCGTAAGAGATCTGGCTACGTCAGTGTGCAGATAAGGTGTAGGAGGAGTGCCAGTTATTTTTTAAATATTAAGTTAACTGTTTGTGTGTGAATGTTGTTATTTTGTTATATATAAGTCCTCAAAGCTTTGGACAAAAGTGGGGTCTGGCTGAAGATAGTTCCTAGTATGCCAACACTGCCCATTAAGATAAGATAATTATTTTATTGTATTTTATATTTTCTTGATATTTTACTTTCGTTTCCTATCCTCGTTTTTTTTTATATATCTTCTTCATAGGGTTGTCATGAACATTTTATTTTAAACTATTAAAGCATTATGTACCATGATATGGTAAATGCAGCTAGGTTCTTAGTGCTACCTATTTTGTTTTATTCATATTTGTTCCTTGCACTCTTTTTGTTAACATGTTTTCATTGTTTGATTTACTTGATTGATATTAAATTTATTATGTTTAATATTTCTCTGTACTCAGTTTCACGCCTCATTGCTTTAATTACTCTTGTACTTTAATGAGGGTTGGTGAATAGTTATTGCCTCCCATGCCCAATATTGGTGCCATATTTATACAAAAGTTAACCCCGCCCGTACCAGTAACACACAACCCCTCCTCACCAACACACACATTTCAGAAACGCTCAATGTGATCTCTTTGTAGGATGCAGGACTTGTTACCCTGCAAAACATGTGATTTGGTGGAAGGTAATTGCATGCTTAGTTGGAAGAGTTGAAACTATCATGTATAAGGAATTTTTTTGAAGTGTTTAATTACATTGCCTTGAAAAGTCACTTATTTTAGTCCACTGGACAACTCGATCTACACTTTCAACAAATGCAAACTTTAAAAGTCAGATGTGGATCTTTTATTTATCATTGCAAACTGTTACAAGCCAGGTTGGCCTAGGTATCAATTTTCTTCTACCAAGCCACAACAATCAAGGTTGGCGAGTTGGCTCCTTGCTGAGTCGCACTGTCATACTAGTCACTATGGGTTGTGTAGGGTTGAGAAAGCAGTACATAAATTTGAGCTTCAAGAAGTATTTTGTACTCATGGACTATAACATATGAAGAACAGCTTCATTTGTGATGAGAAACAATAAAGGATCTCAGCTGTTGCTCCAGGAAGTGTAAGAAGGAATAAAGGAATGTCATTGTATATGGAAATTGTTAGTAATAGATTTGCACTCTCAGGTTTCTTATGTGATATGTATTACCTCAGCTGTTTGACATGATCTTTCACGTAAAAAATGGGCATTTAATATCAGCAGAATCAAACCACTATATGGCTTTAGGGAAAAGTGATGCCAGTGAATAGATTGCTGTAGATATAATCAGAGCATGTAACTTAGTTCATATTCATGCTCATTTATATTTAAAAACATTACTAAAATGAAAATTCACAGTAATATGAACTGTGTATATATGCTTGCCAAGCAACACTGCTTTCCAGCCCTGCGCCCCTTCAGTCCCCTGCTCCCCCACCCCCCACCTTGGGACCCTGCACTTTCTCCGCCATTATTTTGTGTGTAATGAGACAGATCCTGTTTCCTGAATCTTGATGAATAAGATGAAGGTAAAAAGTATCAAGTGATATGCACATATAACTAGCTTCAGAGAAGTCAAATGTTTGGCATATTTTTCCAGTTCCGAATTGCACATATTCCACGTCACTGTTCTGATGGCTTAATACGAGATATTAACACTTGCATTATATTCGATCTCATAAGTACAGTACACAAAGATTTGTAAGGATGTTGATTATTTTTTAAGGAAAAATTCTTGGAACATTATGAAATGCTTGTCGAAGCAAGAAGGGTGATTGGTGGAGAGTGTGTAGGTAAACCCCTGGGTACTCCAGGTATACCCACAGTATTCCCATATGTTATATTCTTTATTGAGTGAAGTAACCAGGGGATGGCTGCAACCTGAGCCATATGCAAAATGTACATCCATTTCCCCGTTTCATTTCATTAATTTTTAACCTCTTCTATGAGGATTTGGTTAATATTGTATTTATTTATATATTTCTGTGTATTTTTGCCTTCAGTACAATGTATCTTCAGGCTGCATTTAGAAGACACAATTTTATCAGCATTATTGTTCAGTTGAGTAATTAAGAGTACTGAAAACACAATAATAATCCAATTTTTGTGTAGCGGATATACAATTGTTATATAACTGTGTTCAGAAGTAAGAATAACAAGCAAACGTTGGCGCACTGTGACTGTTATTTGATCAGAGTCTTCTAAATACATCCTTGTTTTGTCTTTGTTGGCTGTTTACTGTTTATACAGCTGCTGTTTGTTATTTTTTTGTACTTTTCTACAGTATATACTCATCCTAATTGTCCATAGCACAATAGGAAACAAGGCAGACAGAGTAAGTGAAATTATTTATTTTAGGACTCGAAATGTTTTGGATAATGGTGAGAAAGACAAGGTAGTAGCAATACATGAAACTGAGAGTGTGATGGTCAGATACTGGATGTTGTGGATGACACGGCATTAGTCACTACAAATGTTATAATTGTGGTACGTGAGGTTATCAGGTTGATTAGGTTGTAAATTTAGGCAGTACTAATAATGAGGATGTTAAATTACTGATTTTTTGTTCCAAGGCTTAGGTTCTTGTGTACTTAAAAATGAGCATTGCCCTGAATGATGAGTAGTATCTTGCACGGACATTCAGGAGGGGAAGAGAGGTAGGTGAATATGGGGCAGGAATATATGTATGTGTGTATGTATACATACATATACATATATACAAACACATATATATACACAAATACATATACACATACAATTTTATATATATATTATATATTTGGTTGAATTATACTATCATTAGTATATTTTAGTAGCAGTCTTTCTTGTAAAGTTATGTTGTTGAATATGACGAAAAGGTAAGATTAATAATTCAAACACAAATTTTCTCAATATTTCTTATGATTTTCTTCACTGTTGAGGGTAATTGAAATATCAACTCTCCAAAATTCATTTTTATTTTTGGTCCGACGCCTAGAAATATTTCATAAGGGCTTCCTAATTCTCAAAAACTTGTTTTTACTTAACACTACACTTATGATACACTTGATACACTGTGTATGATATATTTAACTTTTGTTGTTGTTTCAGATTTAGCTACTCAGAACGAAGTGTCCATGTAGCACAAGCTATGGTGAGCCCGTAAATCATATTTAACCTACATTATTGCTTTTATATTCGTGTTGGGTGAGGTGACACAAAACCTCAAAGAAAAACATAAGAAATATTGAGAAAATTCGTGTTAGAATTATTAATCTTACCTTTACGTCATATTCAACAACATATGTTTACAAGAAAGACCGCTACTAAAATATACTAATACTGTATGTATGTATGTATGTATGTATGTATGTATGTATGTATGTATATATATATATATATATATATATATATATATATATATATATATATATATATATATATATATATATATATATATATATATATATATATATATATATATATAATGTCGTACCTAGTAGCCAGAACTCACTTCTGAGCCTACTATGCAAGGCCCAATTTGCCTAATAAGCCAAGTTTTCATGAATTAATTGCTTTTCGACTACCTAACCTACCTAACCTAACCTAACCTAACTTTTTCGGCTACCTAACCTAACCTAACCTATAAAGATAGGTTAGGTTAGGTTAGGTAGGGTTGGTTAGGTTCGGTCATATATCTACGTTAATTTTAACTTCAATAAAAAAAAATTGACCTCTTACATAATGAAATGGGTTGCTTTATCATTTCATAAGAAAAAATTTAGAGAAAATATATTAATTCATGAAAACTTGGCTTATTAGGCAAATCGGGCCTTGCATTGTAGGCTGAAAAGTGAGTTCTGGCTATTAGGTACGACATATATATATATATATATATATATATATATATATATATATATATATATATATATATATATATATATATATATATATATATATATATATATATATATATTATATATATTATATATTATATATTTATATATTATATATTTATATATTATATATTTATATATTATATATTTATATATTATATATTTATATATTATATATTTATATATTATATATTTATATATTATATATTTATATATTATATATTATATATTTATATATTATATATTATATATTATATATATTTATATATTATATATTTATATATTATATATTTATATATATTTATATTTATTGCACATCCAGAATCTGTACACCAGGTGATTGACAGTCAAGAGGCAGACCAAAGAGCCAAAACTCAACCCCCGCAAGCACAACTAGGTGAATCCATACATATATACATACATGCATATACACATACTGTACATACAAACATATATATACATACATACATACATAAAATGTTTTTTGTGTGTAAAGTTGATTTAACACAGTATGTTGAATTAACTAAATGAGTTTTAAAGTTGTTATTTTTTCAACATTTTCAAAAACAATGTCCCATTATGTGCTCAATTTACTCCCGATTCTCACAGGTACATCTACAAAGGCTGTGCTTTCATCTAAATGAATAGGGATATGTAACATTATAATCATGACTTAACCACTTCAAAAATACTGTGTGTTCAGCAGACTAAGAAACCCCTCAGTTTCCAGTGTGAATTGTCAGGCAACTCTTAATTTATTTACAATTTTATATTTACCAGTACTTGACATACTAATGTTGTATTTATGTTCATTATTTTCCAGTAAAGAATCTGTAATTTTGGTGCTCAGCTTAAGTGTATGACATCATTGTGGTGAGCTGCAAGTGTGGGACATCATTGTGGTGAGCTGCAAGTGTGGGACATCATTGTGGTGAGCTGCAAGTGTGGGACATCATTGTGGTGAGCTGCAAGTGTGGGACATCATTGTGGTGAGCTGCAAGTGTGGGACATCATTGTGGTGTGTTGCAAGTGTAGGACATCATTGTGGTGAGCTGCAAGTGTGGGACATCATTGTGGTGAGCTGCAAGTGTGGGACATCATTGTGGTGAGCTGCAAGTGTGGGACATCATTGTGGTGTGTTGCAGGTGTGGGACATCATTGCGGTGAGCTGCAGGTGTGGGACATCATTGTGGTGAGCTGCAGGTGTGGGACATCATTGTGGTGAGCTGCAAGTGTAGGACATCATTGCGGTGAGCTGCAGGTGTGGGACATCATTGTGGTGAGCTGCAGGTGTGGGACATCATTGTGGTGAGCTGCAAGTGTAGGACATCATTGTGGTGAGCTGCAAGTGTAGGACATCATTGTGGTGAGCTGCAAGTGTAGGACATCATTGTGGTGAGCTGCAAGTGTAGGACATCATTGTGGTGAGCTGCAAGTGTAGGGCATCATTGTGGTGAGCTGCAGGTGTGGGACATCATTGTGGTGAGCTGCACGTGTAGGACATCATTGTGGTGAGCTGCAAGTGTAGGACATCATTGTGGTGAGCTGCAAGTGTAGGACATCATTGTGGTGAGCTGCAAGTGTAGGACATCATTGTGGTGAGCTGCAGGTGTGGGACATCATTGTGGTGAGCTGCAGGTGTGGGACATCATTGTGGTGAGCTGCAAGTGTAGGACATCATTGTGGTGAGCTGCAGGTGTGGGACATCATTGTGGTGTGCACAAGGAGGGGACATCATTGGCTATGGTGTGCTCATAAGGTAGTAATTATGTTGTCCTGTGTACTTAGCTGAGCATCTACAAATTCCTTCACTAGAAAATGTTACATATGTACTTTAAGTAGGTCACTCATTTATGCAGAGTTTCTTTGTTGCTACATATTTATTAATTTAAATATGCAAATAATGTGTTCGTGTTTGTAAAAAAAAGTGAACTGGAAAATGTACATCAACTATAACTGAACTAAAAGAAAATAATTAACTGTGTTTTTGTAAAATTAAATTACTGGAATACCAGCCGTTATCATCAGCTTAAAAATTGACATTTCTTGTCACCCCTGATTATTCCACATGCAAGATATTGAATGGCCAATTCTTAATCTCCACAATTTTGTTAAAAATAGAGCCTTGGCCATAGCATATCCAGTGCCTTTCCTCTGCAGTAGGGAACATATCACAGCTTTTTTTTTTTTGTTCAGTTGTTTGATCATGTGGGGTTGGAAAGAAAGATTTGATGCATTTGAATTGTGGGTGCTGTTATAAAATGCAAGTAAGATTTTGTTGTTAATGTCATTTTGACTCTATAGCAAATGCTGCCCTATATGAAATTAGAATATTGCAATAGCCTTAATTACACAAGTTTTCTGCTAGTGATCAGCTACTTGTAAAGCAACAGTTTTTACTGCATTTTCACTGCCCATATCTCGGCACATCAGCGCCCAAAGGTTACTAGTTGAATTGTGAGCACATGTGTATCAAAGGTTTGTGTTTGTATATTAAGTCTTTTATAGACTGGTGACCATGTCTGAAGTATTTCCTTTTTCCAAAGTGGAGATCTCACGCATTTAAATATTTCAGTTATGTTTTCTCTATTTTTATTTCTGTTTTTATTTATGGGTGGGAAGTTATGTCTTAAGTGTGTTTACCAGATACTTTTGTTGTTATAGTGATACTTGAAACTAGCACTGCCAGTAACAGTCAGGTTTTTAACAATAAGGGTATGTCAGTAACAAGTGTGCCAGCTACAATTACTGCCTGCATTTGCAGATGATAACCATTTGTAATTGCCATTTCATTAAACTCACGGTGCTTGTGTGTGTGATTGTGAGGAACTGAGAAATCATTCCACCGTGGAAGCTACTTTAAGCTAACACATGATTATACGCCACAGCTATGAACTTTGTTGGAACTCCAACAGATTTAGTTGAAACACCAAATACACTTGAGCCGTTTCAACACCTAATTGTGCAAGTTTTACTCCCGGCCTGGGAAGTGTTATGTTCTTGTTGTGAGAAGATTTTTACTGTCGTGGTGCGCTGATGTTGCTCGTGATTTCAATGATCTCGTACACTGATGATTACTGTGAGGCTCGTTGGAAGTTCATCACTGCCAATGTTAGAAAGCCAATAGTGTACCCACTGCCTTGCATACAAGTGAAATTAATGTTAATTAATATTAATTTATTTTGCTGGACCATGATGATGTGAGATTGGTGTTCCTTATGCATAGGGCCGTGGTAGGTTTGAGCTCTTGTAATACTATATATACTATTTATATTTATTAAATAAATATATACAGTTTTGGTATGTGTATGTATATGTATGTATGTGTGTGTAAGTAATGTATATATGCATGTATGTAATGTATATATGTGTGTATGTAATGTATATATGCATGAATGTATGTATGTATGCAGGATGTTATAGAACATGTGACTTCAAAATGCAAGATAAACCACTGTGAAAATGGAACAATAATTTAGTTCTTTTGCCTTGCCAAAGGCCTCATCAAAAAGTGAGAGAGACCATGACAGAGAAGCCCTGGCAGGGAGGAAGATGGAGGGATGAGGTAAGAGATAGTGGTGATATCTAGATGGCGAGAAAACAAAATAATTAGTAATTTAAATAATAAAAGAAAAATTTTAATAATGTAGAAAGATAATAAAATAATAATAATAGGCCTCAGTGAAAGAATGAGAAGAAAATGGAAAATAAGAATAATGACTGCAAAAGAGGCATGCTTAGACATGAAGCATGAGAATGGAAATGACTCGTATGGAGTTAAGTTACACTATTATCAGGAATCTTACAATCGATTCTTTTAATTAAAAATGGATCAAACTCATATGAACCAAGGCTTATAATGAATATGTTATCATTTATTATATTTACCCACGAAGAGCTTTACCTTGTC